AGCTACCTTTTGTAGACTGTTTCATTTGCTCTGAAATCCGAATCGAGGCGGTTCTTTGCAAGTGAGCTTTCGTGGAGCAACAAAGGCCTTTTAATTATTTCAGTGGTGCCATACCATATTTTTGTTTCTTGAGAGAGATTTTATAAGGAACATTGGTCACACATAGTTAGCAATACATTCAGTAAAATACGGAGTGCAGTTAGATTGTGTGGATAGCAACTTTCGCGTAGAAAATTTGACCACAAGTTTTTGCCTCAGAGAGTTAGCGAGGAAATTAATTCGAAAAGATACTTCGTGTATCAGGATGAATAACAAACAAACCAGTGTTTTTATGTCGTACATGACTATGATGTCCATAGTGATCATCAAAGAGATATTGCAAAAACTACGAGTTCCCTGCCACTGACGATGAGAAGATATTCAGCGGAGAATATAATGAACGGGATGTGTTGATATTGTATCTGAATCTTACACCATTATCAAATTATCTGTGGGACTCCAACTTCTAACAATGCTTTTGAGGGTGAAACTATGCAAAAGTGATGCATCGCTTACACTTGCAGTCGAACACGTCCTGTGAATCCGTACGAAGCTGTGTCCTATCATTTATGACGAGTACTTCATCCGGAACTTGACTTAGAAATGCCAAGCCACATCCTAACTGTATAACACTACTTGCAGTCATTGACTAATTGTCAGTCATTGTAATGAGGAGAGGACAAGGATATTGCTCATGTAACGGAATATTTGGAAATAAGCGAATAAGGCGCAGTACTACAAATCAGCCCGATGCCAACGGGAGATTCAACTGAACTCTTCGTTTACAGCGTTCTTCATTTGAAAATAAATGAGTGCACCGCACAACCTGATGTACAACTGGAACGTAATGTTGCCGGAAGCCAATGGACTATGCGCACCTGAAGTGCTCCCAGAACGGAAAAATCAGTATTGGACTGCCAAATAACTTCAACCTATAATTGGTGAGCTACGTAAAGAACATATCCCCAACTCACTTTTCAGTTATGCATGACCATATCGATCATTATAATCACACTTTGAAGATATTCTAACATTTGAAAGCATAAAATTTCCCAGTATGCATGAATTCACAGAACATTAATCCTTCTTACAAAACTTGTTTCAAACAGTGGCTATAAGGGTGCTTTACTTCAAAAGAGAAATACGGGGTTTAGCCTCCCCTCTGATTTTCCACCAGTAAAGATACGTTTCAAATAGGTCTACAACTAGACAAACCAAATTTTAACCACATTGCCTGGGTTCAGATCAGGACTCTGCTTAGTCCTCCAGAAGACTGTTCACGGAACACTTTGTCTTTTTAACTTCAGAAAGCTCAGCATAGTACCCCATAAATTTAAGAGCTGTCTAGTACTTGATAAGTCAAAAAAGACAGATAAGTTTGTCTGTAGAATTATTAGATTCTCTGCGGAAGACGTTTGCCATTTAACGCCTCATTAATTCTCAAACGCTTCAATAGATTCCGAGTTTCAGTCCGTCAATGTTTCCCAATCAGCAACTCACACAGTATTCACTCAAACTTAGTAGCACGGGAAAATCCAAGATTTTGTCTACTGAGGATGGGAAAGCAGTTTTACACACTCAAACTGTCAACATCAGCTGTGTTTGGCAGTCCTAGTTCTGGGTTGTAAATCTCCTTAAATAGAATATAACCTAGCACGAATGTTTCAATGCTAAATTTCCAGAACGTTGTTAGAACCAAAACTAAAAATTTAAAGGCATTATGAAATAGCTAGCTCACAGAAATCTAAAAGGTAAACTCACCTTTAGGATAACAAAATCCATGATAAATCACCCTGAGGAAATAGAAGAACGTATTCCTTCAATGGTAACCGACATGTGTTTTACAGCGAATGCAATCGGTAGCTCTTCGTTAAATCATCCATCGTGTGTCCACCAGTGTGAAAATCTACATCGACTGTTTTGAATAATAAGTGAGGCGAAATTGGGGCAATGAAAACATATGAGGAAATTAGACCAAACGTCCTAGCACTTGTAAGTCTTCAGATGATTGCAAAAACATTATTCGGTGGCGAGCGAAGCAAGTAACCAATCGTACAGATGTACGGCAGAAAATAACCATTTTGGCGTCGAAACGTACGGTGTTTGCACACAAGCACACAGACACAGGCTGATCACTGTGTTTGCCCTTATTCAAAGACAATCAATATCCTCTTCGTGTGGCGATCGTACAATCGTGGGTTACCATATGGCTCGGCACTGATTCGCAATTCACGAAGATTACTTTGATGCTCTCTAGTCATGCGCCGCTGTTGAGCGCTTCGTCATCGCATGCCACTCAGCCATCGGTAGCTCCAGTAACTGGGCCTAGCACAAACTGGTCGCCGTCAACTGCATCCGTTTTACGCGATAAACGCTGAACGCAGCCGAGTCAGTAAACGCTGCTCCCTATTGGTGGAAGTGGATGTGCGTCCGTAACGCCACGTTTTGCGCAGTGGACAGCAAAATAAGAGTACCTGTTGCCTTTTCGGGAATCGGCAGACGTTGACGGGTATCGAGATATATGGGACCGTCGAAAAAAGCATTGTACGGCAGAAAGGAATTGCAGCTGCTTCAAGAGACCTTAATCAAAGTAACTTCCGACCGAGATTCATGTACAAATATTTTAAATCCTAAAGAATCTGTTTACAAATGTTTTGCGTACCCCACATCAGTATTTAAAAGCGAAAATATATCCAGACGGATGGATCAGAAGTGAGAAACATGCGCAAGTGGCTAACTCAATCCTCACAGATACCAAACAAATCTGAATAATCACGGCAGGGCGTAGAATTTCGGTTGTTTCAGCGCCATTTTTGATGTAATTTTGATCGCTTGCTCCTGCGAAAGTTTGCCCCGGGTGACAGAAGCTTTGAATTATAAAAGTGCTTAGAAACACTGTGCTCTTTCTCTACATGATTCAGTCTGATACACACAAAGTGAAAAATATCTGTTACATTTGTGTCTACATTTGTGCTGACGGATTCCTTCTGAGCAATGCAATCATGGGAACTGGAACATAAGAACATGGGTAAAAGGAATACTGAGACCCCAACCAGCTGAGAGCACCCATTGACAAGGGGCTGCGGATCCTTAACAAAAAGCTCCCAGGACAAGCAAAACTCTCAAAATTCTTAGCTAGGCGTGATTGATAACATTTGACGGGAATACCGAGTTGGGCTTGCAGTGCTCAAAATGTTCTTGCAAGAATCATCGGTGAACCAAATTACATCAATGCAGGTAATTGTAATGCAGCTTGCAGCAGGGAGTTTCTGAACTTCACCGCCAATGTCATTTTTGAATGTTCGTAGATGTGATCTGGAACGATGCCAACAATTAGTCTAGTCTTAAAAAGCTCGCCTAAGATTTGAACATCTTAAATGTATCAACAATGCAGCTGTTCGACAAAGAAACATCAAGAATATTCTACTTGCAAAACTGGTGCATGTTAGGGAATGCAACACAGGTCGTTATTGTTTATGAGCGAAGGCTCTTGTTTCGTTCATAAAAAATACTTTTGTGGAATAAAGGAACCATCCGTAGGGTTGAATCCTGGAAAATTGAAAGGCTTGGAAAACTTGACAGGGTTTTCGGCAAGATGTTTTGGACCAGCGTGATCTCCGTAGACTTGGCTACCTTTGATAACCGTGCACTCCTACGGTTTCATCATCTTCTACCTCTGCCAGATGTAGAACTGAACTAAATTCTCGTTTGCCTGCTTTAGCGGAAGGCGGAAGCATACGACTGCCAGGCGTGATGCTGAGCGAGACTTCCTTTCACTTTACGTTGTTTCGGTTTGCTAGAAGGTCAAGGTACCACCTTAAGTAGTAAAAGGTAGCTATGGATTACAAAGTAACCCATAAACTAACAAAGGACGCGCTGTGGCCAACTTCAAGATCCATTATCCTGATAAAGCCGGAGATACCATCAATGATTGGTCAACTATGGTAAATAGCCAACACGCATTTGATCCCACAGTAGCGTCCAAACTACTGTCGTGTGCAATCCAATACTGAACTGCCTATGTGCACTGTTTGGTGTAAAGTGGCTTCGTGTGCTATCAGGCTCGACAGTCGTATTCGTTCCCAAGCATTCACTATCTAACTTGATGCAACGGATTTGGGGGTCAAAACTCACTGTTCCTCGGTTCAAGCAGCGCTTTTAGAGTATATATGATCTTTGTTTATTAACTTACGAACACTTCGGATGTACGATTTATCCTCCTCCCCAATTTCAGCGCTCCTTGCATCGCAGTGACGAGTGATACCATTATTCCCCACCTCTCAAAACCACCAGTCAGTTTCGAATGCTGACCGCTAACCTTTTAAAAAAATATAGCACATAAACGCATCTGGTTGCGAAATGCTTTTGATGGGTTGGATGGATAGGGCGGCCGTGTCTGTCCAGTACACAATGCTACCTCATGCATTCCTTGAAAGGAAAACAGCACGTTATCTGATGATGCCAAAAACATTTAATCCTCAGAGGCAGGCAATTCTAAATCGGAGTGACCCGTTTGTATCCATTTCCGAGGTCTTGCGGTCCGAAAATGTGCAAAGAATTGGACTAAAATTTTATAAATATATCTGTTTTGTTACCCCTGAAACGTCATTAGTTGAATTTGAACGCGCCCGATTTGAAATGCCGTTTTAGAGGGAAGTCGGTCTTGGTGCACAAACAAATGACGGTTCGTATTTTTCCAGAAGTGTAAGCCCTTATCATGTGCATATAAATGATTGAGTATCCTCGTTGATTTTGCGGTGTAAGTTGTCGGCCACTACATGGCTATAGGTGAGAATAATAATGCAACCACTAAGCTACACGGTGACACAAAAGGAGTAAGAAGGCACTTAGTAACCAAACGAAGGTACGCCCATCCAGTCTGTATGGAAATATCAGACGTTTAAGAAAAGAACGGTATGCTTCTGCAATGGAGAATCTGTTCAATGCGCTTTAA